ATGCCGATTTTTACAGAATATACAATAAGCATTGCTAAAAGCAATGTAAGAATTTCGGAAGCCTGACGTGTCTTCTGTCGCACCGCAAATAAGTGTTGTGATACCTGATCGATGGCATTACCTAGAAGGCAAATTGCTATCATTACAAATTGTACAAAAAAACAATGGGCGAGGTATTTAAGTATTTTGTAAAATAAGCTCGCTAACGCGAGAATCATTATATAAGTAAAACATTTTGAGGTTCCATAGAAGCACACTAGAGAAATTTAGCATTTTGACGATTGGATATTTGATAGAATATTTTATAAATGCATTTTATAGCTTCGCTATAATAAAAACAAAAAATTGTTTCAGTATAAATTGAGAAAAGTATACAAACATAATACAAGGATAAAATAGATAACAGATTACATATAAACATAAACAAGAATAATATTGCAAATATTTTATAAATCATGACAGGGTATTTAAAAATCGGCAAACTCCGTGTATTATTACATTATGTAATAATAAATTTATCACACAAATCTCTTATAAATATTATTTTCTTCAGATTTATCCTTGAAGAGAGAGAGAGAGAGAGAGAGAAGAAGGATACAAATAGAGTATTATCAGAGTGTTATATTACATATATAGACTATTTTCTTTATACTTTATGATATATATAGAGAAAAAAGAAACGAAGACTAGAGACAGAAGACAGAAAAAAAAAGAATTAAATAGAGAATGATGTTAGATGATTGCTATATCTTAATACCTCGTCTTTCAAGTGCATTCTAGGAACTCGCTGGCGAACATCCTACGAGCGCGAGGGTACATGTTACGTACCATCTATAAGTACAGAAAACGGAGGTGTTGATCAATAGTTGGTACATCAGAGACAAGGGGCGTACTTTGTTCTACACATATATACATATATATATAAACTATCCATATATTACAAAAAGAGAAAGAGTAAAAAATAGAATGAGCGAAAGTGAGATACAGGGATAAAAGGCAACGGTGGATTCTCTTTCTCTCCTACACTGCGTGTATTTAAAAAAACAAAAAAACAAAAAAAGAAAAAAAGAAAAAAGCACGTCTCGTGCATCCAGATAATGCAATCCACATACGTGAGCGAGTCAAAAATGGTGATAAGACAAGAATGAGAGAGAATGGAGAGAGAAAGAGAAAATGACAGAACGAAGTAAGAGACAGAAATGAAATTGTTGAAAAAGTAAAGCTTACCCCCTTCTTATATGGTGCCTCCAGCATCGCTTCGACATCCAAATCCTCCGCCATTGCGCGAGTCGGAGAGCTCTCTGAAACGCCACGCATTAGCAGACCAGACTTTTCACGCTGTTCGACGAGAAGAGAGATAGATATGTACGGGAGGTGCTTGAGACTGAGCTATTTATCATAAGCTATAACGTACAGGTGACGAGCGCTCTAAATAGAACGACTCGAGCACTGATCGAAAGATTAAAACGCGAACGATATCGTTACGCGACGACGACGTTGACGACGATCTAAGCAAAATGGCCAACAACGAAAATTTGGCCAGTAACCAATAACTCTCCACCCTCCCGGAAGTGACGCCCGTCAATACGTGAATCGTTTGGCAACCGTAGATTCCTTTATTACGGAAATACGCTCCGTTTGACGTAGGAATATCGAAATGTTCCGCCAACCAATCAGAGCGAGAGAATCTTTGCCTCTTTCATCCTGATTGGTCATGCTCGAAGATGGCTACTTTTAGCTCGAAGCATCGCGTCTAGATATTTATACGTCATGATTGTCGCTCGAGAAGGAAAATTTAACGGTACATTTTTATCGATCGACTCAATATTATAAGAATTGTTGTTTATTTTTTTATTTTATATTAATCTCTTTCATATAATTTCAATGCTTATAGAAAAAAAATGCTCCAAATTGTCGGATAATTTGAGTCATAATATAAGAAAATCTAGATAGGCACGTCCGATAACCAATCAGCCTCACGTTTCAATAGAAATGAAACGTAGCGCGAAATGATTGGTTAAACGTAACGGGAGATGATTGGCTACCCGTCATTCTCGCATTCTGTTTGCGAGAATCTCGACATTCTCGTTTACATATGTGCTCCGTTCAGTGGTTTACGAACTTGTGTGAAATTGCGTTTATATACATATGTATATATCTTATTATATATATGATACATGTATATGTAGGCATGATGGAACTTCAGAAATGGAATCTTGGTGTTTATTAATAATTTCCCTCGACGTTGTGTGAAATACGAATCCAGAACGATTCACAATTAGCCGGTAGAATTAGGAACTATTAACGAGCTTTCTGTAAATTTGTTTCTGATCCGAGACGATAGATTTCTATGGTTTAACTTTGGAAATTAATAAGAGCGACTTTTCGGAAGATGTACAAGAAACGAGAACAGATATACTTTTGAAGTTTCTCAATTAATTGTTCGCGAGAAAACACAAGATAAAAATTATCGTACATTTAAGCTGTTAAAATGGCTGCATCCTTGTCAGGTAAGAATTGCAAGCATGTTTTATAACAAGTTTTCAAATTTAGTATCATTAAAATTATTCATTTATACTGTTTTAAGAGATAAATAAATATTATAAATAATTCAGTGTTTTATACTATTTATTCTAAATGGTCTAATGGATTATAAAAATTTTTTCTAATTTATGTATCTCATCATTTGTTATAATTTTGTTTATATATAAGTGTATTTTATAGCCCTATATATTATAATTTTTTTTTTGTTATAGCTTATTGGGTGAAGTTTTTCAAAGGGGCTGGATTTCCGCAAGATGTGGCCACTAAACATGCAGTTGTATTCTCCAACAATCGTATTAAACCAGATATGTTACCAGATTTAGATAAACCTAGTCTAAAAGAAATGGGTATTACATTAATGGGTGATATGATTGCTATTTTGAGATATGCCAAGAAAGTTGTGGAAGAAACAACGTGCGAGAGATTTTTAGTTGATACAGAAGATGTAGCTTCAGCTCCAAAAGTTAATCCAAAACCTGTTGCAAAGAAAGTAATCAAAGAAATTGGAAATAAGACGATGGTTTCATTAGCTTCAAAAACAGATTCTACAAAGAAGATAGTTAAACCTTTGCCTACAACAGCGAAAAAGATTATGACCATAAAGAAACCAATATCTGTATCGAATACTAACAATACTACTAATCAAAAGCAAACCTCTATGAAAAGAAAATTAGTGTCAGAAGAAGTATATGAAGACGATGATGATAACTGGAATATCGTGGAAAAGAAGGTGAAAGCGACAAACGGCAAGGACAACACTATCGAATATACCGTCACTGTTCCAAAATCATCAAGCGTAAGAACTCAAGTTCTTAAAAAGCCTGTTGAACAAAAGCGAACAGTATTTGACAGATTAGGTGACAGTTCTGTTACGAGCACCACCAATTTAGCTGATACAACACCTACTTTCAACATTACTGGTGTCAGCAAAGATGTATTCAAAAGATCGAATAGTGTGTTCAAGCGTCTTGGTGACATAGATGATAAGAGGGATCATGTAACTACTGCAGGAATACTTAAGAATGGGTCAGGAATCACTAGTTCATCGGGTATATTGAAGAATCCAATATCACCTAGTATACGTACGTCGATTGTAACAACGAAAAGAGTTATACCTAAAACTACTGGTACTATGCATGCTGATCACGAAGTCAATAAGAAGATTGTTTTGAACAATACAAGCCGTATACTTAAAGTGAAAAAAGAATCTGATGTCAGACCAAGCAGCGAAAGAATCATCAAACCTGCAGTTACATCTGGCAAATTAGGTGTGTATATGTTGTGAAAATTTAATTATAATGATAAAAAGCATATAAACATGAAAGCTATTTTTATTGATAATTTTATTGTTACAGCTTCGGAACGACTTATCTCTATACCAGCTAAGGCACGCCTTGGCACAACCACTGCCAAACAAGTGACTTTTAGTAAAGTGGCAACAGTGACGCACGTCAAGAGAGCGGATGTTTTCAGTCGCCTAGGCCTTTAAGCTGGGTATCTTTTGTATCTTCTCTCCATTATTAATCGCGAGTGAATAGCGATTTGCGATCGAACCATTGTTTGTATAAAATTTCCCCCAGCTGCCAGCTGCATCGACATTGGTTAGTGTTAACCAAATGATTAATTTCATTTCATTTTTATTATGATATGATATGATAAGACATATCGCTAATCAGAGTCGCTTGCAAGGCTACAGCGAGAGTGTTGTTGCAAATAACGCATATGGTGTAAATATAATAAAAGAGACATTGACGTTTTATATTTACGACTTAGCGACGTCCATGAATTGCTCGGACATAATGACGTTAGTCTGACAGAGTGTGATCTATATCATTTTTCAATAAAAATAATGCAATTGTTCCTTTTTATTATCTTTAACAGTTTTTAAAGGATTATTTAATTTTGCATAAAAATTGAGAAAATGCAATTGTGTTGTACAAGATACAACACAACGTATCAACACAATTGTATCTCATGAAATTGTGTATATTAGCTTTTTCGATTTTACGAAACAGCAATTTTTTATGCAAAACTGTCTTTTTATACTTCTTCACGAAATAATTACATGATACGAATGTATGAACGAGCAATTATAGAGTTTATGTATTTAGATATTATATTTGTTCTCTTATCTGCATTTCCCATACTCTTTTCAACATCTTTTTTCCTTTTTTCCCCCTATCATAAATATTTATTTGCTTCATAATATATAAGAATAGAGATATTATAACAGAGTATAACAGAATCAAAAGTGTATACTCTATTTTCGACATTTGTTGATATATTAAATCTTTGAAAAATATTACTTGCGATAGAATTGCAACAAATTGAAGATTTTATATATTTTGTATAATTGACAATTAATATTACATATGCCATATCAACTTGTTGCTATTCTATGATTTGATTTTTAATAAATAAAAGATACAAATGTATCTCCCATTAATTTAATATAGATCATCGCTGCGGGATCTATCGAATCGTCGATTGCTTAAAAGAAAAAAGAAATGTGCATCTTTTGAATATTCCAATAATTATTCTTGCCTAATTAATTTCCACAAGATTTGCATTTCTGCATAAGCAGCATATATCTTAAAAACGAATGAAAAAGAAACTGGAAAAAAAAAGTTTAAGGATGTTTTGGCTGAGCGATAATAGCAAAAGGCTCAAAATTTAAAAAAAGAACATATTTCTTACGTTTATACTGTTTAAAAAATCAAATAAATCCGGATTATAAAAAGAATTAAAGTATCACACAAAATAATATAGTTTTTAACGTCTTCGTAAAAGAAAATAGTTGGAATTAATATTTTTTCTAATTTATGACAAAAACTTTTGGACTGCAGGAAACAAAAAAAAAAGAATAATTTGCATAAAAAAAGAGAGAGAAAGAGATAATATTTATAAATATTTATTAGAGTTTTCTTAATATATGTGAAAATTTTTATTTTGTTGGTAATGTTTTTTCCTTGTCAAATTTATTAATAAGTGCTACAATACGCGATTTTTCATAAGAATAATCAATACTAACTTTAAACTTAAATAATTTCCAAACCGTTAAGAGAATTGTGCTCAGGTTTTACGTAGATACTTAGAAGAAATAGTAGAACAGTCTACGAATTTTTCATGCTTTTGTCAATATTTTGATCATATGATACATACATCCTTAACGATATCTATAAGTTTTTAACACACAAGAAAATATACATTCGCAAATACACGAGGAAAAAGAAACAGAGGATACAAAAATTAATAAATAAAAGAAACAAAAAAAAAAATTATTTCCGTGCAAACAGGTCTTTTCAAAACAACCGCTTTTACTCTCGTGTATCCGCGAAACCGTTTCCCCTCTAGGTCGCATGAACTACAACTCGTGGTTCGCGAACCGCGTTATCTCTCTAGATTATATTTAATTGATTCGTGGCTCGCGGCTGTTCGCGAGTCTCGTTCGGGAATGGCGTCGCCCCGATCGATTCGGGAATTTCGCGCGGACCGCGCGTCGGTCCTATTTTAGTCGCGTGTGTGGGTGAATGAGGTGTCGCGGCGCGCGTTCGTCTTCCGACGCTATTTTCATCACCCCCTGCGTCCTCGCGGACGAGTTACACGGAGTCGGCTTGCGTACGTGCTTGCGTACGTACGTACGTGCGCGAGGGAGAAAGAAGGACAGAGGTTAGTTTCGGCCGATGAGCCCGGCTGCTGCGTATGTAGCGATCCGTGATGAAACGTTATCTCGTGCGCGAGCGCGCACGCTACCCCTCCGTGAGACAGCTGCGTCACGGAGTAATATAACGTGGCGGTTTGAATTATACGTACATACAATCGAATACGATAAGACTCTACGTTTGACGCGACACAATCGCGAGCTGTCATTACGACTCTGACGTTCTCGTTATTATTTTTCGCATAGAGTTTACCGTATATTTAAAACAAATATATATATAAAAAAAAAAGACTTCTCGCTTTGTCGAACATTCACTCGATAAAGAGAGAAAGAGAGAGAGAGAGAGACCGATAGGGAGAATTTAGAAGGGAATCGGTGGAAGGGGTCTTGCTCCCCCTCCTCCGATGAGAAATGGAGAGGAGAGCGAATGAGACCCTCGTCCCCTATGAGAGAAGTCGCGATCGAGGAGTGAGGGGGGGGGGGGTTGTGCGCCGGCGAGCAAATCGTGTATGTCAGACTCGTGGCAGAGGGGTCAGCGCGAGGGAAAGAACGACACGAAACCGAACGTTTTCTGGGCTTAGCGGGTACGTTTTCACGTTGGGTCTCTCGCTGCACTTTTCCTTTTCTCTCTCTCTCTCTCTCTCTCCCCCTCTCTCTCTCTCTCTCTCTCTCTTTCAAGTACCCCTTAATCTGTCTCCGTCCCTTAGTCATCGTGGTCGGTCGTCCCCTGTGATTTCGCCCGTCGTGCCTCTCTCTCTCTCTCTCTCTTTTTCTTTTATTTAATCTCCAATCCCCTCTCTCTCCCCCCAAGTACACGCGTCGCTGTCACCGAAACGAAAGTACGTGCGTACGTACGCCGAGGAGATAGATACATATCGATCTTTGATCGAGCGTTTCTCTTCGAAAAGCACTCGCGACTCCTCTCTTCTTTTTCTCTCTCTCTCTCTCTCTTTTTCTCTGTTTCTGTTTAGCCACTGTAATCTTTCCCGTTGTAACGGGGCGAACGTTGTAACGAGTCGTGTGACAGCACGTTTTTGGCGTTTGCGTTTAAAGGAACGTGAGACACGCATACGAGCGAGAGGATGAACGACATGGAAGCCTACGGGGACGGATATATGGCACCGGAGGAGGAATGGGAGAGGGAGGGTCTCTTGGACCCTGCCTGGGAGAAACAGCAGAAAAAGGTGAGCGAGTGTTATCATAGCCGAGAGATTTCTTTTTTTTTTTTTTTCCTTCTTCCTCTTCTCTTTTCGCTCTTCTTTTTCCGCTACTTTGAGACTCGCGAGCATTTTTGGGCCCAAACTGGGCCTGGCCATTTCTGAAATAGGACGAAAATATCAGTGAATTTTTTATCTTGTATTTTTTATATTTTTATCCAAACGATCGTTGTCGATTTGCGTCGAGAAGTTACATCGATTACACGCATAATCGCGTGAAAAACCATTCTCGTATTTTTTTTTATGTCTAAGAAAAAATTAATGATTCTTTATCTTCAGGTCAAAGATTAAGTGAACTCGAAAGGATTCGGAGAAAAAGATTATTTTTCTATGGTCTATATTTTATTTATCTGTACCTTTATTTATTGCGCTTAAAGAGCATATTGTAATCATAGAGATATAGAGCCTCCATTAGTTTTGTACACACACAAACACACCTGTCTCTCGGAGACAGAAACTATTGAATCATTTTTTATTTTATGACGGGATCAAATTATCTATTGTAAAAGATTGAAAATGATACGATATTTTAAAAGTTAAGACAAATATTCTCTCTCTCTCTCTCTCTCTCTCTCTCTGTCTTATAATTTAATTAAAGTATCTACCTCTTGATATTTGTGATACTGATACTATTAGGGAGAGAAATAAAAAAGTACGAATGTAAAACGTGCTGCTAGAAAAAGATATGATATTATAATCGTCTAGTATTAAAAAAAAAAAAAAAAAGAAGAAGAAGAAAAAAAAAGAAGAAATAAGCTTGCGGTTGGGAATTTGGCAATGTTGATCGAGAATTGAGGTTTATATCAGTTTCCTTAGATTGTGGTAATCTTATCAGATATTGACACATTGTAGTAACGCAAAGGCTCGCGCTCTTGTGTAATCATTGTAGTAGTAACATGATTTACGTTAACATGAGAAATTATATCGCTGCTCTTCCACTGCATAGACGCTCATAAGCTAGCTCCATATGAACAATATTTTTCACGACTCTCTCTTTGACTAAAAAAATTTATCATTGTTAAAAAAATAATATTCATTGTAAGATTAATGAGAATTAATTGTCAATAACAGGTGATGAATTGGAATTGAATTCTAAAATACGGATATTGAAGCAGAATATGTAATCTACGCTCGATAATTTAGTTAGATGTAAATGTAATATATATAAATTTCATTTTTATCTACGGATTTTTACTATATGCGATCAAATTACATTCTAAGCGTTTCATAAAAAATATAGGATATTTTGAATACTAGATACAGAGTTGAAAATTAACGACGAACATTTTACATTTGAGAAGAGCTGAAAAAACTGATAGTATTAAGCGCTTGTTTAAGTATACTTTAGGCTACATTGCCGAAGCGTAATATTATAAACAGAAATATTTCAAAAGAATTATAAACACACACAAAGATAGAGGAGACAGAATGGAGATACAATCTTCCTGATAAAAAGCGTATAACAAGTGAATCTTTTTTCACCATTTCGACATTATTTAACAGTTCTTACTCGCAAATTCATTCGACATGGCGTCATTAGATACTGACAAATCGTAGCATTCCCGAGTATGCGTTCGCAAATATTTTCTTCATCTTTGGCATAGGTTCAAGGTTTTCCCAGAGCTCTCCCGCCTCTCTCTCTCTCTCTCTCTCTCGTATTATATCAGCCGCAGCCCTTCGGATTGTATTTTCAGACTTTATGACAAAAATAATCGAGCAATGAGTCACGCCCGCGAGCGTGACGATTTTCACGATTTTCGTGGCCGAGTTCTTCCTCGGTGTTGTCGTCGAGTGGTTTTTTTATCTTTTCCTTTTCTACGCGAAGGCGCGTTGGCGTCAAGTCAGGTATTAGATAAGCGACGCTGATAATGGTTACGCGCGCATGCCAATATAAAGCTTACGCGTTCCTAAGATATGAAACGCGGCTTCGCCGTCGCCGAGGGCAGGCATTTTTCGTAACGCCTCTAATTTTAGAGACCCGCGTGTGCGTGCCTCATTCCGGAAACGCGGTCCGAAAAGCCGCCGAGATTCGCGTCGCGGCATCGGCGGCGGCGAAAACGAAAACTCATTCCATTCGTCGAACCGCGTATCGCGCGGACATTATTTCTTCACGTTTCATAGAACAAAGCTCTTACGCGAAGGCTTCCCGTTTCAAATATGACACTATGATAACAATAGGGTTCCATGAATTCGAGGCGGAAGGAAGTGTTATATTGAGAAGGAACATATATAAGAGTCATTCTCTTCAATTTTATTCTT